GGTTGATTATAATGATTTTGTGAAGAATTTTGTGTATTTCTTCGTTCTGGTGATCTTCCTCTATAACTTGAGTTATATGGTGATTGATTCCTTGTGTAATTAGTATTGTTCGGAAGTGGTTTTCCTGAACTGTTGTTGCTGTATACATTTTTGTTTGGTAGATTTTGATCTTTCTTCATATATTGATAGAATGATTTATTTGGTTCTTTATACTTTTGAGGTTTGTTCTGGTTATCTTGTTGTTTTTGTCTACATTCAGAAATACTATGTCCGTATCGTCGGCTATAATTACACCATTTTTTGAAAGATGGTTTGCCTTTAAAATTTGGGTGTTTTTCATAAATATTTAGTATTTCAGTGATTTTTTCAACTAGGTCTGTATCTGATTCCTGTATGTTATTGATATGTGTAGTGTTTGTTTCGATTCGATTAACATATTGTAGTTTCAGATTTTCTGTTTCTTCAAGTATCATTGTGATTTCCGCTTGCTCTAGTTTGTCTACTAGTTTTCGAAAATCTAAATCGGGCTCTCGAATTGAGGAAGGATGAGATGCTCTCTTTTTTATTGCTATTTTCCTTAATTGAGGTGTTAAGGTCATCTTAAAAACTTCTGTCATTTTTGTGTTTTTATAGTCATGTGTATTTAATGAATATGCTTTTCGAACTAGTGTTTCGATACGTACTGCTAATTGTTTGATGGTTTCATTTGGTAATCTGCGAATTTCATTACATAAAACTCTTTGGTGTTGTTTATTTCTTTCGGAGTCAAACATTTTTGAAAATTCTTGTGTAAATCTTTTCCATTCTGATTTTATTTCTATAGGTAATACTGAAAACCATTTTTGGGCTGCGGCATCTAAGGTTGTTTGTATCAACGCTGTGCGTCGATGTATCCAATTTTGATGTAGTGGTGTATTAATTGGTTCAGGTCCTATATTTAAAATTAAATTTGCTGTTACTGCATTTAAATAATCTTCTACAGAATATTCAGGGTCTGTTCCTGTGAATACCATTAGTGGTTTATTTGATGTTATTGATGATCCACCCATAAGGTATGGATTCATTGTCATTTGTAGTGATTCTGCGGCATTTGGCATTTGTGAAAAACTTGAAAGTTGATTTTTTGTTATTTCGTGTTGTTGAAGGTAATATGGGAGTGGTATTTCATTTTGCATTTGAGTTGGTTGATACGAGTGTTTAATCATTGGGTTTTGTGGTTGAATTGGTTGAAAAGATTGTGTTTTAGTAGGATTTTGCATTTGTATTGGTTGTTGATTTCGTGTATCTGTTGGATTTGGAGAAAAAATTGTATTATATGCATAAGGTTTTTGCGCTCCTTGTCCGCGATATTCTTGGGTATACGGTGCAAAAATATCTGGCTGTAAATAAGCATCATCAGATGATAAGTAATCCGTATGATGAGGTGCTTGCTTTTTATTTTGATTTTGTTGAAAGAATGGGTAATTTTCACTACGATCCTGTGTAGGATGTGAATTAGTTCGAGTTCGAAAATTTACTGAGTTGGTTGTTGTCATTGGGTTATCCCAATAGTGAGAACATACATAATTATTATTAGTTTTTCGTGGGGGATATTTTGTTTTTGACGAATGTGTGTAATTATAATTGTGTTCTGCAAAAGTGTTTCTTGTGAACGTTCTTCGTGTTTTTGACGGGACTGTCATAGGTCTATATGTTTGATAATCCTTATGTGAATATTTTGGAGCAACCGAAGGTTTAACGGTTGATTGTAAGGTTACTTGTGCCAGTGAAGTGTTTGTATTTTTTGGTTTTGTTAAATTTGGACGTATCGGTGAAATACTTTGTTGTGTAGTTGTTGTTGTTTGGACAATTTCTTCATTTATGAAGTGTGATGGTGTTTGGATATCTTGTTGTGTAAGATTCCTAGTTCCATTAAGGTTTTCATTGTATATGACGGTCGAATTTAAACTGTTATTTCGCGTATCAGGTAAAAATGTATTGTAGTTTAATGGTGTTGCATCAATAGTCAGTGGTACTACTCTCACATAATCTCTTTGATAAGATATTGTACTTATTGCTTGACTTGAGATTGATTGTGGGATATTTATAAATGCATGATGAGACCATTCAGGGTCCCAAACGTAGTCTGACTGTTCTGTGATGGCAGTATCATCGTTTCGATTTTGAGGTCTGAAATTTTTTCTTGCTTGTGAAATTAAGTCTATATTATGTGTGAAATAATCTATTATAAACCATGCCAAAATTTTTTGTAAGTCATGTTTTGTGTGTTGTGAAACCTCGTCTTTAGTGAAATTTTCTTTGATTATATGTAGAAAAGTTGAAAATAGTGTGATTTCATGTCGTACTTTTATATGTTTGGATGTCTCAGTTGGTGAGATACTTTGAAATTCTGTTTTTTCTAATATTGAAATATAGCTATATATTATTGCAAAAACTTCGTTAGTAAATATGGAGTTTGCTCTTTGTGAGTTATGATATTGTATGCTTTTAATATATTCTAAGAATACTTTTGAAAATTCTAATTCAAGATCGTCTGTTTGAATTACATATTTGCGTTGATTCGGATTTGGTGTGCTGAATTCTATGGTGTAGATTCCGTATTGTTGTGTTAAATTACATATATCTTTCAGATAATGTTCGATAATTTGTCTTTTGATTTTTACATCTGGGAATTCTGCTTTGCATGGGCTGATTCCGGTTTCAAACAAATTTAGGAGTAAATTCTTGCAAAAGTCATGCTGCCCTCTATTATCGGTTGCATCTATGAGGAAGGGGTAAACCTCTTCGTCATCTGGACTATCGTCACTTTGAGTATGGCTGTGGCTCATTTTTTCGTTTAATGACTGTTAATATATAACTATCGATGTGTCTAATTGGTTGATTCCAATTATAAAAGTGTACTGGTTTGTGTTTATATTGCTTTTTTATTCTTCTTTTTCCTCTTTTTGATGAATTTGAAGTTGTTTCTGAGTCGGAAAAATATAATTGATCGTGAATGGGACAATTTTTATCGATCGATTTTTTTAATTTATAGAGTTCATCTAAATTGCTGGCTTCTGATTCTGAAAATGCGTTTCTATTTTTTGAAAATCTTTTTCGTGTGATTTGTCTTTGTTTGTTTATTATTTTTCTTTTTTTTGTTAGATCTTTTTGTTCTAATATATCCAACTGTTTGTGTATGAGGTGTGATTACAAGATCGTATTTTTTGTTATCTATTTCACAGTTGTGTAAAACGATTGTTTGTTTATTTCCTAGATTTTTGAATGACATAAGGTTTAGGATGAAGGATGCAAAAAGTTGTTAGATGATGTCTACTTTCTTAAACTGTTAGTCCTTACGATTTTTTGGTTAGCTTAACCTGGGTCTATTTGTTCAGGGTTGGAGAGAAAAGTATATCGATTCCGAAGAATGATTTTTTACTTTCTCGTGGCTAGTATAAGCTAAGGTGTTAACTTACTTAATCTTACTTAGGGGTAGTGATTGTGTTCAAGGGTTGGAGAATAGTAAATCGATCCACAAGGTTCAGGTATAATTAGAACGCGAGTAGTTCGTTAGATACTATTTTAAACTTACTAAGTCTAAGATTTATCTTGGGTCTGGTAAGAGGAGGGTTCAAGTGAAGGATGATTAACCGAAGTTCTTCACTGTTTATCCTAATTTGAATGGTTAGTTTTGTTGAAAAATTTCTATTAGTCTTGGGTTTTTTGGAAGGGTTGGATAGTGAATCGACATTTGAGATCGTTAGACACTTGTTAAGTGGGTGGGGGAGAACAAAATTGTTCTTTTTGGTCCAAGGATAGGCCTTGATGATCAGGTTTTTAAATTTAGTGAAATAGGAAATTAATTAAGATCCAAGGATAAGCCTTGATGATCTGATTTTAAAATTAAATGAATTTAAGTTTAAAATGGTTTAAATTTATTTAAGAAAAAGATTTAGTTTTTTAAAGGTATCAGTGACTTATGATTGCTGTTATGTTTAGGTGATGAAGCTGGGACAACATATGATTTTATGATTACTAACAATTTATTGTCATGCTACTAATTTTTGTTTTGATTTTCAATAAATATTTTTCAAACATGTTTTATATAAGACTGCAGAATTTAAATTAACGATCTGAGATCTTTTTATCAATCGTTATTGTATATTAATAATTTTGTTTAGCGCCTGAAATGATTATGAAGATTGTCTTCAAAATTTTATGTTTGCAAATGAAAATCTAAATTCATTGTTAATAAGATTCTAAATATAAAAGTTTGTGTTGGCTTTTGCCGTACAATCATATAACTATATGGTAAGTTTCTACTTTGTCGTATGTCGTCTCTTGTTCGAGGTCTTCTTACGATTCCGGGTAGTTCTGTTATCGTTCGGAATATCGGCTCTGATCTATTGAGTCGTAGAGACATTTCGATTAAATTATCATCGTATAACATTTTTAAAATGTTTTGTCTAAATTCTAATCTATTTTTGGTTAAATCTAAGCTATTAAGGTCTTATTCGAGACTTATGGTCGCACCAGATGAGTTAAGCCTGATGTGGTTAACTCATAGAGTAATTTCGGATAGGGTACACCGTCTGCTCGTCACGCTATCTTATTTTCGGCCGGATAGATTCGTGCAACTTCTTAGTCTAATACCGATCCTAGTCTTACTCTTATACTTTCTAGTCTCAGGGTGTTTAACTAGTCTCTGCTAGGCTCAATAGATCTAGGGTATACTGGTTTGTTGCGGCTGCTGAAGTTCTCTTGGAGAGACAACTAATTTCTAAGTTAAATTCAAATCTCTCTGGTGCTGAAATTACAAGTAATTTCAGCACTTACAAATAAGTGGGTTGTTAGTTAGATGGATCATGATTGGTTAATATTAAATACTTTACAGTGGTAAAATATCTAATTTATCCAATCATAAAATATAGTTTAGATCAGGTTCCAATTTGTTTAGAGAGTGCAAAAATACGACCCGTGTCCTAGCTATGTTTTTGTAAAATTCATCGTGTTTGTAGATGGGTACACAACAGAGGACCTGGTGCTGCTCTGGTCCCATGGGAGGACCCTGGAGAGCTCCGCCTACTTCGAGATTGCTCAATTCGATCTCCTCAACATCACTCTAGACACACTTCAGCTAGAATTCTCCACAGGTTACTCAATATGGTCAAACATCAAACCAAATCTCATCAACGACTCTGGTGTAGTCTCAAAATATTTCCCAAGGGCAAGAGTGGAAGTGGGGGGGGGGGGGGGGAGAGCTACGACCAACAAAGATTCATCTGATGATTTTGATTTGAAATATTCTTTTAAAAAATCTTTTTAGTCGCTACTAAAGCTACTACGAGAAGTATCTCCGAAATATTTTCCTTGAGTGTCGAGAAAAAATTGTTTGAAATGTTGGCTTTTTAGATAATGAGTAAACTGAGTCACATACATCGAGTTGGGTATGTTCGGTGACGCAACGTAAAGAAGTACTACTATTAAATTTGAGTTACTTGAAGCTAGAGGTTAAAAGAAAAAGAATGAAAATTTAGTTTATTTTTCTTGAATTTTTTTATTTCTTATTTCTTAACCTCTAGCTTTAAGTAACTCAAAGTTAAAAGTTGTGTTCATTCACTATTAATCTAAAAATCCACCATTTAAAAAAAAATTTCTCGACACCTAAAAAAAAGTTGGGGGAGGTGGCTGTGAATACTTTCACAGAGACCAATAATACTTAATCACATATGTTCTTGTTCATAGGTAAGTTCAGTGACCTGCGTATGGACTTCGTGTTGCGACGCAAGCTGACCTACTTCATCCTGCAACTGTACCTGCCTTCTGCCATGGTGGTGATGCTCAGCTGGGTTTCCTTCTGGATCCCCCGGGACAGTGTGCCCGCTAGAGCCGCACTCGCCATCACCACTGTACTCACTATGATCACACTCATCGGTAAAAAAAACAGCAGCTGCATCTTACTACTCTGCAATATTATATAACAGGGGCGGATCTAGGATTTTCTCGAGGGGGGGCGGATTTTCAAAAAATTTTGTCGACATTTTTTTAGGTCGACCAAAATGATTTTCCGAGCCCTCCCAAAGAACTAAAAAGACCTTGTTTTGGCCAAAATTTTGAAAAAAAAACAGCGTTTTCAGACACTTTTTGGTAAATTATTACCAAAAAATCGCGTTTTTTCTGCGCGCGTTCTCCTTAAAAATTAGTATATATTGGCGCCGAAGACGCCTTCAGAAAAAGTTTAGGGTCCGTCAGCCAAAAAGGGATATCTCAAAATAGTACAAAGGGGACTCTGTGGGTCAGCAGGGGGTCGAATCCTTCAGGGGGGAAAGCGAGCGTTCTCTGAGGTGTTCTCTGCGGTGGTAGGCAAAAAAGCCGAAAAAAAGATTTTCTTTGCAACAAGCCAACGGCTAGTATTGTTAAGCAACAACACATAAGGACAGACTTTCACTGTCGTTAGACAATTTTTTAACTCTGATGTAATTACGGCTTCAATAATTGGATATGCCACCCGACAGGCTGATATTTTTTGTATGATTATAAGTTTGGCTTGAAAATAAAATAATAATTATAAGTTATGGCGATTTGTTAAACATCTGCCGTTTTCCTCTGAGACTCATAAAGCATAATCTATTAGAGTATCTACGTATATGTTAGCTTGACGGTCTGTTTTAAGGTACGACTAATTCTCACCTTCCGCGAGTGTCCAATGTCAAGGCACTGGACGTGCATTTTGCCCTGTGTCTGCTATTCGTGTTCGGGGCTCTGGTCGAGTTTGCTGTCGTCTCTTACTTCAACAAGATCCGGTTCAGAAACCAGGGATGCCCCGCCGAAAGACAGTTCCACGCCAACAACCCGAACCATAAGGTGACAGACTAAAAGATAAGAGCATAGCTTCATGAGGTCTTTTTAGGCGATGTCAGTTATAGGGTTACAACAGATATTTCTCATCAGTGGAGAGTCGAAGCGGGAGGCGACGACCGACCGCTCGCCTCAATTCTGGTTTGGTTTTTTTCAAAAGACCCTCCTTTTGTACTTATTTATGGCAAACATTTTGGCCGACCAACTTTACTATACTATAACTTGAGGTAAGCAATGTATGTAATTTAACACATTATCACTAATTGAGGCTCTAAATGAAGTGAATAAAGTCTCTTATTATCAGATCATTTATATACGCCCTTTTCATTAAGCTGATTGCCACTTTTTATTTTTTTTTCTTCAGGGGCACGCCAAAGCTCGTTACAGTGCAGTTTTCTTCTCGAACGGACACGCCTCAATCTCAGACAACAATCTGAACAAAATCGAGTCCAAACCAAAAGCATTCAATCCCACCCATGTCATCTGGACAACCCCTCCTCGAAATGCCCCCCATTTGCGGGGGGAACAGTTGGGACCAGTGGTGGATATAGGTTTGATTGACGTGTACTGTCGGGCTCTGTTTCCAGCAGCCTATCTGTTGGTAACTCTAGTCTACTGGATAGGCTACACTAATGCTCTGTATGAGAAGTTCAGATGGACGAAGGGTGCGGCGGCGGCTCAGAGTGCGTTCCAAACTTGAACTTATACTACCATCTGTTCATGTGTTCAGCTAATTGTTCCTACCATTGAAAACGGGGAGGAACTTTATATTCGGGTGTCTTTTAGTTTTTTCTTTTCTTTTTCATATTTTTCTACGCAAAATCAGGTACCACGAACGATCATCGGACTGGGTTGAGTGATATATCATATTAAAGCTCTTTCAGTCGTAATTCGAACCGCATTAGAAAAATTCCCAAACTTTTTTCTATTGTCAAGAAATACTGGTTTGAAATTTTCGATTTTTCGTCTAATTTCGAGCCACTGGGCAGGCTTACATTGGCTTAATTGTGATTAATTTAAGACTTGAAAATTTAGTTTTATTCAAGTCAAGTTAGTTTCTAGAGTATAAGTTCTCTATTATGGATCAAAAAAATTTCAGAAACAAATTTTAAAAAATTTAAATTTTTTTTTTCGAAAATTAAAAAAAAAGTTTCCCGTTTTTTTTTGTGTTTCTTTAGATATTTTTCCTCAAAAACTGTTTTTCAATTTGCCTGTTTTAATATGACTGCCTTAGTTCTAGTTTTTTGTTCAGATCCTTTATTATAGTACCGAGAAAAAAGGCAATAATTTGAAAAATTTTTTAGTTTTTTTAAGACTATGGTTGGAACATGCTGTACTTACTTGCAGAGTAACCGGCTATCATTGTTTGATATTGTTGTTTGTGTTCGGAGTGGTTCTTTTTGTCTCCAAACCAACTTCCATTTTTTATCAATCTTTTTTGACGGGATTTTTTTATATCATCTAAAATGTACTGTGTTCTGAGCTCAAGTTTAAAAAGATGCATTACCTGTGAATAATTTTTGCATAATTCTTTTAAGTTCAATTTTTATTACAACAGGCGATTTTCTGTTACTCATATCACTCGTATAAAGTGAAAAAATTTAATTGATCGAAAAATACAGGCGTTTAATTGGACTCATCTAATTGATATGATTGTGAACAGGAAACTCAGAAATGACTTATCAGATTGAAATTTTTTGGGCCGAACAGTTCAATTAGCGAAGGAAAGAAACTAACTATAGCGCTGGGTGTAATATATTTTATCCTGATTTTAACTACCTCAAAGAAAGCTCACGTGTTTTCTCATCAAAAAAAATCTTCCTCTCATATTTAGCAGTCCAAAAAGAACTATCACAGTGTCAAGAAAACTGCCCTGAGTTTTCTGAATTTCAGAAAAAATTGAGAAAATTGATGACGCAGAACGGATATTGGATCTTGTTAATTATTTCCCCTATTTCGATTTACAGAAACTCAACTTTGGCTGTCACATTTTCAATAGTTTAAGATAATTTTCAGAAAATATATTTAGTTAAAATTTCTTATGTAGGTAATTTATAATTAGTATCTAATACAAATACGAACGCGCAAAAATAACAACCCTGTTAATTTTTGACCTTTTTGAAAAGCATATTTTGTACAGAAATGTATGTCAAAAATAATACATGCATAGGGGGGGGGGGGGACAGTTAACAAGGTCCAAAAGGGGGGGGGGGGAAATAGTTAACAAGATCCCGGATAATTATCTACATAAAGAAGCAACCCGTTCAGGTTTCATTTTTATTTATCGCTTTCACGTGTTATATCTTTAACGCTTTCACGTGTACTGAAAATGATTGTAAAGTATTTAATACGAAGCAATCATTTTCAGAACTAACCTTCTACAGTAGACAAATTTAAACAAAGTTTTAAGAAATGTCTGTTTTTTTTATCACAAAATCCTTATTTTGTTATCTACTCCCTTATTTTTGAGTTTATAAACTATTAACCTAGGCACTTTCCTGTAAAACAAACATAAACTGGTTATCTTTATTATGTCTACGTTTTGAATAAGTATTTTTTGAAAATAGGGCATGTTCAGCGCGAGTCTAGGACAACAAGCCGACGGGACTTCAAGCCGAAGGGACCTCAGGCCGAAAATTAAACTTTACAAGCACCTGAAATCATTATTTATTCATCTGTAAAACGTTGCTTGTCAAAATTGTAAGCTATTTTACTCCATAATAAGCGTTATTTATGACAGAGAATAACTTGGGATTGGCATCCGTTAATAATACCAGCCGGGTTTTGAAATGCATAAATAATAAACAAAAAAATTACCTTCAACCGTGTTTTATTTTTCAATTTTCCTAAACATCATTTGGAGGCTTAAATTTTATGAAAACGCTAATAATTACCGAATAAAGATCATGAAATTGAGAAATTCTTTAAAAAAGTTTCAAATTAATCATATTTCATGACTTAGTGACAAAATTTTCGGCTTGAAGTCCCTAATTTTACGATTCGGCTTGAAGTCCCGTCGGCTTGATGTCCGGCACCCGTTCAGCGCAGCACAGTTATTTATTTACATCAAAAATATTTTGTTTTCGAGACCCGTTTGGAGTTTCATTTATATTTATCGCTTCACGCTTTATATAAATAGTGTTGGAGGCGGAGCAATAAGCAGAATGGTCTAAGAACAGAATGGGTCCAAAAGCAGAAAATCAGGAAAATATTCCTTTTACTGATTAATACGGGCAAATTGATAAGAACGATTATCAGAATCGTCAATAATTCCAAGAAAGTGTATAATTTATTCATGAATTGAATAAATTAATTGAGTTTTTTTTCATTGAATTTTTTTAAATCTCGATTAAATTACTCTAAATATGTATGAAGTATTAGTTTTTTTTTCTAATATTGACTATTATTAAACTTAACTTACCGATCAGCCTATAAAAGTTCGTATTTTTCTTTCTGTTTTTCTGCTTTTGGACCCATTCTGCTCTTAGACCATTCTTCTTATTGACTAGCCACCTTTTGTACTGAATCTGGTTGTAAAGTTTTTATTACTCCATATTTTGGACCTAACCTTTACTTTTACAATTGTAAGTTCTGACTGTCAACAGACAGACCACCTCTAGAGAATACAAAATAACTTTAAACTCCAATTATTAGCGCTTTTCCAGTATTTGCTTGGAACAATTGAGACCTAAGAAACAAGAAAAAACTAAGATCAGTAATGTTTTTTAAAGTTGCGCGAACCTATCCGGCTGAAAAATTGATACCGTGACGATCAGACGAAGTACTCAATCTGAAACTACTCTATGAAATAGCTAAGAACCGGAGTCAACTCAATTTGCTTCAGCTGATCAAGAAAAATAGCTCAACAAACGATTCCACACCTCCACACCAAAAGACGAACGATTTTTTATAAAATAGATTGAAGCCTTGCTCATCGATCAAAATTTTAGCAATCCTCGCTCATAAAAAATGCTCAGAATCATTTAAAGGGACTCAGTTTTACTGCCTCAATCGATGTCAAACCTCTTGGTTTTGTTATTATTTAAAAATCAAATGGGGACAAACAAATAAATTCTTCGGTTAAAATTTTTGCATAATAGAGAATAAATATGATGGCTTCTTTTGTTGACAATGAGAAAAAATTGTAGAATAAGTGTTGAAACTTTTTAACTCGCTCATTCTTTTCTTGCCGTCGAAAATCCTCCTCAAATAATCTAAACATGTTTTAACTTTTAGTTTTTATGTCTTCGTGGTGTTAAAATGCAACTTGTTACAAGATTAAACAGTCTGATTTACTTGATGAAAAAAAAATTAAAAACAAAAACGACCAAAAATTTTGTTGATTTGAAACCAATTCTTTTGTTCCCAGATTAACACAAGAAGTTTATTACTAGTTTTTTAAATTAGTAAATTAGTTTAAATTAGTTTAAAAAATTGAACTTCATTAATCTGGAGACAAAAAATTGTTTTAATTTCAATCCAAACGTTCATCATTCAATATGAATTTGTTAAAAAAACTTTTTCAAGTTTATATTCTTGTAGCGAGTTGTGCTTTATCTCCAAAAAGGGATTTAACCTAACATTTAACCAAATTCTATCTCTAGCTAAGATAACGGTTTTCTGCAAGTGTCAAAAACCTGTCTGCAATTTCTTAGATGAAAAAATTTGGTACGCACATAACTAACGATAATCACGTGCTGATGTCTCTATCAACTACCTTCAAGACTGAAAAAATCAGCAGAACACCCGATGGTGGGGTCTTTTAAATCATTTTGTTTTTAGAATAATTTGATGAACAAAAGTTGGCTCTTTTTCCTTTTCCCCCCACCTCACACGAGCTTCAATATATTTGTGTAACGAGAGGTTTTACGAGGTTGAGTATGAAGACCAAATATGTTTTTTGTGGCTTTATTAGTCTATATGCAAATTTTCATAACAATCGGACAATGTGGTCAACAAATTTACATGTAAAAATTTGCAGGTGGGGGAAAAGGAAAAAGAGCCCAAAAGTTTAGCCCCTCTCAAGATTGGGTTTCAAATTGTTATACTGTTGTGAAAAAAGGAGTAAAAAGAAAGTGTTAGAATCAAATGATCAAATTATCTAAAGAAAAATTTAGTGAACGCAGTTTCCTTCTAACGGAATTGGTGCACTGATTAGAGTAGTCTAAGAGCAGAAAGGGTCTAGGAACTCAAAAAAAAACTGAATTTTGACTAATCGATAAAAAACAGTACTAGAAGCGTCCATGTTACATATCACCTGAATAAATTGTATACCGACAGACTCAAATAATCAAATTTTTGAAAAAATATTACACAAGTAAAAAATTTAATAAATGTTGAAAATATATGTAGCATTTGTCCAATTATATTGCAATACTGATAATTTTAAAATCTTTATTCATTACGTTTGCGTGATCAAGTGTCCTGTAATCGGGAATTAGACTAATGGTCTTATGATAAATTTTTCGTTACAAGTCTATAAGAAACTAAAATTGCTATCTTATTGAACCGTTACCAATCCCGGGTTCCTTCTCACTTGGTATAGAGGTGAAGCTGTTTCTTAAGCACCCTACCATCTGTGGTTTGAGTCCCGGCTGGACCTTGTTTTTTTTCTGTTTTTATGAAGTTTTTTTCCGGGAAAAAGTTAATTATCGATTACTTTTTTATCGGTTTATTTTGCTAAGCATGATTTTTTCTTGATTTGAACAATACTATGATCAAGCGTCTTCCTCTTATATTGTGAGTTTATCAACTCAGATTTAGAACAAGT